GGTGTAGATCTCCAGTTGGTTGGTTTGAGCCGGGTGATGCTAGGCTATTGGGGACATACTTGGTGTACGATGCTTTGGAGAAGGTGAAGGTGATTCAGGAGAGGCTTCGTACGGTGTAGTCGAGGCAAAAGAATTATGCTGACAGGAAGGTTCGAGATGTGTCATACATGGTTGGTGAGAAGGTTCTGTTGAAGGTTTTGCCAATGAAGGGTGTTATGAGATTTGGGAAGAAAGGTAAATTGAGTCCTCGATTCATTGGGCCTTTTAAGGTGCTTTGGAGGATTGGGGAGGTGGCTTATGAGCTTGCTTTGTCACGCAGCTTGTCGAGTGTGCATCCAGTATTTCATGTTTCTATGCTCCGGAAGTATATTGGGGATCCGTCTCATGTTTTGGATTTCAGTACGGTTCAGTTGGGTGATAATTTGACTTATGATGTGGAACCAGTAGCTATTTTGGGTTATCAGGTTCGAAAGTTGAGGTTAAAGGATATAGCTTTAGTGAAAGTGCAGTGGAGAAGTCAGCCCGTGAAGGAGGCTACCTGGGAGACCGAGTGGGAGATGCGAAGTAGATATCCTCACCTGTTTGAGGCTTCGGGTATGTTTCTTGACTCGTTCGGGGACGAACGTTTGTTTAAGTTGGGGAGGATGCGATGACCTGGCCAGTCGTCTCATGAGTTACTGCTCTGTTTCCCCCATTTTAGCTTTGTGTATCCATGTTATGTGGTATCAGGTTGGTCGGATCAAATCTGGAATGATTTTGGTAAGGTTTGAGACACTTAGTCTCTTTTGAGGAAGCTTAAGTTGGAAAAATGACCTGGATGTTGACTTATGTGTTAGAGGGCTCGGATGTGAGTTCCGATGGTTTAGATAGGTTCGGGAGGTGATTTGGGACTTAAGAGCGTGATCGGAATGAGTTTTGGAGGTTCAGAGTAGATTTAGGCTTGAATTGCCAAAGTTGATATTTTGACGATTTCCGGTTTGTAGGCGATATTTTGATATAGGGGTCGGAATGGAATTCCGAGAGTTGCAGAAGCTCTGTTGTGTCATTTGGGATGTGTGTGCAAAATTTTAGGTCATTCAGACGTGGTTTGGTTGGGTTTTTGATCAAAAGCGGAATTCGGAAGATTTTTGAAACTTAGGCTTGAATCCGATGTGTTTTGGTTGATTTGATGTTGTTTGAGGTGTTTTGAAGATTGGTACAAGTTTGAATAAGGTTTTGGGATATGTTGGTGCCTTTGGTTGAGGTCCCGGGAGCCTCCGGTGAGTTTCGGAGGGTTGAACGGATCATTTTAAGTTGAAGAAAATTACAGATTTTGGTTTCAGCTGTTGCATGTATTTTACTTTCGTGTTCATGAGTGGACCCTCGCGTTCGCGAAGGGTCAGTTGAGAAAGTTGGAAATTTAGGCTTCGCGTTCACGGGGAAGGCTCCACGTTTGCGAAGGGCTGGGCATCTGTGCATCACGTTCGCGGGAGTGTTCTCGCATTCGCGTGGAAGAAATGGGCAGCTGAGCTTCGGGGGAATTTAACTCATCGCGTTCGCAATAGGGGGAACGCGATCACGAAGGTCTGTCTGAGTAAAGCATTGTGTTCGCGATGGGTTGGTCACAATCGTGAAGGAGGAATTTTGGTCAAGATATTTTTGTTCTTTGTAAACGCGAGGCTTTGACCACATTCGCGAAGAAGGATTTCAGGCCTGGGCAGAAGGTTTAAAAGGTCGTCTTGTCCGCGAATATGGGGATTATTTCTTCCATTTTTGGTCGTTTTTGGAGCTATTTGAAGGGGATTGAAAAGGATTCAAGGGGAATCACTTGGAGGTAAGATTCATGGGCTTAAAACTCAATTCTAATGTGAATTTCACCTAAATAATCATGGAAATTAAGCCAAAAATTGAAGAACTAGGGCTTGGAAACTTAGACCTTTGATTGAGGATTTGAAGGACCATTTGAGGTCGGATTTCAGAACTTTTGATATGTATGAACTCGTGGGGAGATAAGGAATCTATTGATGTAAAAATTATCGAATTCCGAGACATGGGCCCAGGGGTCGGATTTTGGTAATTTCGGGATTTGTGTCGTATTTTGATTATTTTCGCTTGGGCTTTGTTTCCTTAGCATATTTTGATGTCGTGATTCTGATTTTGGATAGATTCGACGCAAGTGGAGGCCGATTCGAGGGGCAAAGGCATCGTGAGCTAGAGATTTGACCGGTTTGAGGTGAGTAATGATTGTAAATGATGTTCTGATGGTATGAAACCCCGGATTGCACATCATTGTGCCATATTGAGGTGACGCACACACTAGATGACGAGCGTGGGGTCATGAAATGTTGGGGATTGTGACTTAGCCCATCCCAAATGACTGTTCTACTGCGTATTTGATTGAAAACTATTTGATATCATCATGTTTTGGGCTGAGTGCCATATTTGGGCCTCGTGCCAACTATTTGAACCCTTCGGGGATTTTTATTGATATTTCCTCACTATTTTGACTTTAAACTTGTACTCAGTCATGCTATATTCTACTGTTTTCAAAACTCAACCATGTTTATTCTGCTTTAACACTTGAAATGATATTTCGAATAATATTTTGGGCTGAGCATCATGTTTTGCTGTTGCCCGGGTGGCTTATGTGATTTTTGACTGAGTGAGGCCGAGGGCCTGTGTTGTGAGGACACTTTTGGGTTGGGTTGCACGCCGCGGCGGTGATACACTGGTTTTGATTATGAGGCCGAGGGTCTGAGATATGTACGCCACGAGGTGGCTTGTTGATATGAGGCCGAGAGCCTAGAGATGATGCCACGAGATGGCTTGATATTGCGCTTGGGTCGTAAGGGGCCCCTCTAGGAGTCTGCACACCCCCAGTGAGCGCGGGTACCCATTGTTATGTAAGATTGTGCCCGAGAGGCTGGTATTGTTCTGAGATGTTGCCCGAGGGGCTGGTACTGTTCTGAGATATTGCCCGAGGGGCGAACCTTTATGTGGTTATCTTTTCTTAATTTCCTGTCAAATTACCTGCTTAATTGTTGAAAAAGGCTTTTCATGAAGTTAAATTTGAGTTAAAGGATTTTTACCTATCTTGCACCAGTTTACTGTTTTCATAGTTTTACTGCTTCATTATAGCATGCTTTTGTGCCTTCGTGATTTCCTGCTTTAAGTCTTTATTTATGATTATTACTCATTGAGTTGGAGTACTCACTTTACTCCCTGCACATTGTGTGTAGATTCAAGCGTATCTGGTCCCGCTCCCGAGTACTTATCATTTCCAGCTCAGGCGGATCCGAGGAGTCTCTAGGTAGTTGTTGGCGTTCGCAGCCCGGAGCTCTTTCCTATCTTACTTCTTCAAGTTCTTGGTTTTTTGCATTAAACTCTGTAGTTTGATTTGGAGTATTCCATTTTGTTAGATGCTCATGACTTGTGACACCCTGGTATCGGGCTGTGTTGGGTTATTTTCCGCAAATTATGCTCTTAACTGCTTTAAACTTGGTTTATTTGATCATGCTTAGACTTTTCCTTAATGCTTAACTGTTAAATACTGAAATGGGTAGGGTCGGCTGGCCTTGTCTTCACGAGAGGCGCCATCACGACCGGGTCGGGGTTTAGGGTCGTGACAATTCCAAATATTTTTACATGCATGAAATACCTAATGAATATTTGTAACATTATTTATGCTAAATCGATGTTTCTTCTGTTATGTAAATGCTAACCCAAATATTCCTTTTAGTTCTACTTCTACATTTACTTATGCTGATGAAGTTGAAGTTGAAAATGGTTGAAGATTTTGCTATTTAGACTATACTATCTTCCGCAAAACATAATAGTAAGAGCGTTGATGAATTTCAATTCTATTTGCAAAAGCATATAGGGGCACAAATGAAATTTGATAGTTGGCATGATTGAAGGACAATACAAAGTAGTTTATCATTTTTTGTGCAATGTCTCGAGACGTGCTAAATGTGTCAATTTTAAATGTTGTATTAGAAAATGCATTTAGCCAAGTAAGGCGGCAGATAAAAGATATGCATCACTTATTGAGTAGTAACACTTTGGACTTTGGAAGTTCTAGTGTGTTTCAATGATTTTAAAATCGAAGCGACGAAATCAAGGACGTAGATAAAACAAAGGACAAGAAAATTGAAAATATATCGAGAAGTGGTTACCATCTGAACTAAACACTCCAAAAGCGAGACAGAAGATAATACTGATATAGAAGAACTTAGAAAGATAATGGTGAGCCATATTTTTGGTAATTAATTTTTTATTACCAGGAAAAATTTACAAGTATAACAAAACATCCTATCTCTATCAGCCCAGGTTTGGACATGCAACCCCAAACCTAGGAACATCGAAACTAACACCAAATCTAAGTATAAACTAGCTAAGGATAAAAATTTAATTCTTGAAGCCTTTTAGCTAAACTAGGACTCAAGCTTCCTTGACAATAGAACTCTTGAATTATCGTTTTAACCATCTCCTCACTTCTCCTCTGCTGCCCGCGAAAAGTTCTCTAATTCCTTTCTTGCCATATATGGTATACATTACAAATTAGGAGCATTCTGTATATTGTTGCTAATGGTTGCTTATCTGCTGTGTGTTTTGTAGCCCATTTTACCTCTTTATTCCACCTAGTCGCATCTCTATTGACACTAATCCAGCATAATAGTTTTCTCCAAAATCACCCAAAACCGAGCTCCAAAACCTTGTGAGAAAAAGTAACTAAATTTTGAAAATAAGAAAAAAATGCAGCAACTTTCCCAGCTAGATTCAAGTCCTAGATGTTCTTGAAACTCACATTTGATAAGCTAAACACGATTCTTGTGATATTACACCCAAGATAGCCTCTTGAATCACCAAATTTGGTCTTAAAATGTGGGAGATATGATGTTTTAAATTTTAAAAGAAATATGAAATTTTTAATGACATTTTCGTAACTATTTACACTAGAAAAAAAAACAACAATAAGAGAATCTTCGTGTTAGCACCCAAAACTCATTTAGAACTTCCCGAAAACAAACCATATATGCATTTCAATCATAAAACATGCTACAAACCTACTCGCACATCCATAACACCGAGAATAGGTTATGTTGAGCCGATATTGACCATGGTCAAACTTTAAATCCTTTACTTAACTAGTTTCTGAACTAATGTTCCAAAATACACCTGAGACCCTTGGGACCCCATCCAATTATACTAAAAAGTACAAATACATTATACAAACTTATTCAAAGCCTCAAAACACTCACGGGAACATAACAACAAAGAATAGAGGCTCAAACCGAAAAACAATTCTCTTAAGTTGTTAAATCTTCGTTCTTTCTAAACAGTGTCTGAATTACACATAAACACTTCGAATCACTTTCAAACTTTGCACAGAAGTTCAATGCAACTATATAGACCTATCTGAAGTCTCAAAACACCAATTGGAGTCCAATAACGTCAAAGTCAACTCTTGATCAAACTTATGAACTCGTAAGTTTTCCAAATTGCTAACTTTATGACAACTAATGTCGAATTCGTCTATAGACCTGTGAAACCAAATCCAAGTATCCATACAAGTCAAAAGATCATCATATGAACCTATAAGAACATTAAAAAAAACTCAATTGGGAGTCCGTTTATCAAAAAGTCAAACCTTGTCAACTCTTCCAACTTAAAGCTTCTAAAACGAGAATCATTATTCCAAATCAATCCTGAACCGCTCAAAAATGAAACAATAACCATAATCGCAATTAATAATACATCATATGAATCTAGTCAAGGTCACAAACCAACAAATCGAATGCTAAAGCTCAAAAAGAGCATTCGGGTCGTTACGCATTCCTATTTGATGATGTGCGGATAAGGGTGGCATTCTACATTGATGATGAGTTGAGTGTAAGTGCGGCAATCTTGATTATTTAAGTAATTCTTTATGCTTTGTTATGCACTTTATATGATTTTATGTTGCTTTTAACATGCTACTTTATGCTTCAATTATTGACTGGTAGTTCTTATATTAAAAGTTAATTTACCTGTGATGAGATGAAAACCTGTTTCATTGGGATTGATGGTACTACATCTTATTATATACTTCTTGCCATTTATTTGATGTATTGTACATGTTTCTTTGGTTAGTAAGTATCACATGACTTGAACCTTATCACTATTTTGTCGATGATAGTTTTGATACATAGTGAGTATATGTTGTGCCGTACTCATACTATACTTCAGTACATTTTTGTACAAATGTAATGACCCAGCCGATGTGTTTATCATGAAAATGGTAACAACAATTAAATTTGTAAATGAGATTCTAAAAATACGTGATCTATTCCTGAGCTAGTTGTTAGAGCAGTTGTCACACCCCTTTTTCAACAACTTCACTAAACCTCTTAATAATAAAAAGATTTGTAAAGCTCAAAAGGGTTTTTAATTAAAAAGTGACAAAATTGTGTTCAAAAGGAAATAATTCAGAGTCGCCACTTGACATTTGATTTCTTTTTTTTTGTCTGCTAGGCAAACGCCTGGGACTAGTTTTATTTATAACCAGATAAAATACGAAATACAATATCATGATATCCTACGAACAGAAAGTAATTAAGTTTGAACTTAGCAAGTATCCTATTATCAAAATTGAGTGTTACACTCAATATTGATAACACATTAATGCTATTAAACTTTGTAATACAATTTGTTGAAGCTTTGTGGTGGAAAGCACGTGTGCCCCACCTATAGCCTTTTCCATGTGATCCTTTTGCTCAAAAGCATGTGTTGTCTGCCATGCCTTGCACATGAAACCATGCGTGCACATTAAAATATTCAAAAAAATGCCTCAATGCACATTTAGAATCCTTTTCCAGCTGTTGTGCTTTGCGTGAACTATTCTGTCCCAAAAAACTCCCACTTGACAGCAGTTAGCGTGCATGGCTACTGTACCTTTTTTTTTCTGCGTTCCTTCTTCGTCGATTGAGGTGATGAGAGACAGCTTTGTGTTGGAATCGCACGTGATCTCCACCTACAGCTGCAACATAAAGAAATATATCCCATAGTACCTTCATCCTAGAGTATTGCATGCTTTTATGTATCCTAGATAACTTTCCATGTGCATTCCACTTTTCCATTTGATTCCTTTTGATTCCTTTGCTCACCAGCATGTGTTGTCTGCCAGTCCTTCCACATTAAACCTTGTATGCATATTAAGAGATTATTTAATCCGAATTGGATTGAAGCATGCGATAATATAAAGCATTGGCCTTTGTTGCCTGTTTTTCTCGAAAACATATTTGTTGCACATGCTAGTTGTGTTTCCAATGCCATTTGCTTCTTGT